TTTTTGTTTGTTTTTCTTTGGCAGTACTGGCAGTTGAACTCTGGGCTTTGTACTTGATCAACTCCACCAGCCCTTTCTGTTTGGTTATTTTTGAGGCAGGGTCTCAAAATCTGAAGTGTCTATTTGATTTATTTACATGCTTGAACATGTAAAAGGCCGATGCCTTAATCATCTTGTTTACCATTGTATCTAAACTATGATGTCTTATATGAATGAAAACCAGATTTAACTGGCTGATTTCATGCCTCTTGATTTGTTTGTACAGTAGATCTTCCTCTAATTGACAGCCTCATTCGGGTGTTTCAAAATATGGAACATTGTCAGAAGAAATCAGAGAACTCAACAGAGCCTAACACAGAAGAAACTAAAAAGTCTGATTTAACCCAAGATGATTTCCACTTGAAAATCTTAAAGGATATTTCATGTGAATTTCTTTCTAATATTTTTCAGACATTAACAAAGGTAGGAAAGAAGTATTGGTGCTTTCTTCAGCAAAAGAAAGTATGGATTATTTAAAGACCTAAACTTCATTAATGTTATGGTTTGTTGGGGGGTGAGAATGGTGAAGGGGGTACTGGGAGCAAATCCTGCTTGACCCAGGAGATGACCAAGGTGTAATGCCTAGGCAAGAAATCTACCACTGAACTACACCCCCATTCCTTCTATTACTGTGTGCTTTTTTTTTGCAGTTCTGGGTGTGGGACCCAGGGACTCATACATCTCATACATGCTAGGCAAGTGGTCTACCACTGAGCTACATAGCCCTGCTGTTACTTTTTTAATACCAAAGTAGTATGACTATATTGCTCATTTTGGGAAAATAAAGAAGAATCTTAAATCATTAACTTATAATTTTAAAACAGCAACTGATGTTTAATATGTATGTCAATAGACCATATTGCCAAAATGCTTTTGACATGTGAAAATGTTGTTTTTGCTTGTCTCTTATTATTGGATATTACAGTTTTTATATTAAGTAAAGTTCAACAGGTGATAAATTGTGCCTTATTTTGATTTGCATTTTTGTTACTAGTGAGATAGAACATCTGTCCATGTATTTGTATTTTATTTGTGTTTCCTCTTCATAAATATGTCTGTTCTTTTCCTTTTTTATTTTATTTTTTTTTTGTGGCACTGTGGTTTGAACTCAAGGCTTTGCACCTGCAAAGCAGTTTGCTCCACCACTTGAGCCACACCTCTAGTCCATTTTGCTCTGGTTATTTTGGAGATGGAGTTTCACAAAGTATCAAAGTATTTACCTGGCTGGCTTCAAACTTTGATCCTCCCAATTTCAGTCTCCCAAGAAGCTGGGATTATAGGTGTGAGCCACTGGCACCTGGCCTTTTTTTTTTTTTTAAAGCTGTGCCAAGTGTTCAAACCCAGAGCCTTGTGTACTTGCACTTGCTAGGCAAACCCTGTACCACTGAGCTACCTCTCTAGCTCATGTATTCATTTTGATTATTTTTATGAACTTCTTTGGTAATATATCTGTTTGATATTCACTGCAACTATTTTCCTAATTGTCATTGGTTTTTCGGTTTTCTTTGAGTAAAGGATAGACAAGTTTATTTTTAAGAAACTGGAAGGTGGTCTAAGTATAGATCCAAGGATATATCATGAAAATTTTTGCACACCACATTAGGGAATTTGGACTTACTCTTGAGGAAATGGATAAGTCTTTTTTAAGAATCAAGTGATACAATCAATTTAGAAAGATTATTCCAAAAGCAATAGAAAGGAAGAAATAGAGAGTTGAGACTAGATGCCAGCAGCCCAACTGATGGGCTCTGAAAGTTAATAATCTTTAAGAATAACCTGAAAAATAATGAGAGCCTAAATGATGAGAGGAGGGTGGGATAAGAAAAAGGGTTAGCAGGGTAGAACTGAACACTTAGGAGGAGGACCAACAGCAAGACAGAAGGAAAAGTCTGGGCCGTGTCCAAGTTTATGGTTTAGTGCAGGATGGAGTCCTGCACTAAAATGTGTACTAAAGAGGCCTCTTGATGTTAAGTTCAGTTTGAGATATTTGAGGTGCCTGTAGGACAAGTAAGGAATTGTATATACTGATTTGTATTTATTCACCAAATAACAGCGTTAGAAAACTTCCTTTTTTGACATTAGATCTTTTTGGTTTTTTTATTTTAGGAGACTGTGTCTCGTGGACTAAAGGAGGGCCAGTTAAACAAACAGAAATGTTCCTGTGCATTTCAGAACCTCCTTCCTCTCTATAGCCCTGTGGTGAGCATGGGTAGATTGTATAGGGGGCTGAACATCACAGGAGTATAAAATAAAATGTCTCCAAGTAAGAACTCAGTCTTTTGAAGGCATTGTTAAAAAAGATAGTACACTTTACATGAGATAATGCCCTGCTGGAAAGATGGCTGCTGGATAATTCATCATGTCTGGCCTGAGTCTGATGCTTATTTTAAGAGGAATGAATCAACTTGGAATTTATAATAGCCCTTTCTATTGTAAAGTAAGATTCTTAGAATCATTTGTGGGTTTTTATGGTTCTTCAAATCACATCACTCTTGCTGCCATTGGAGGCAGTTTCAAACTAGGAACTTTTTTAAAAAAATGAAGAATGGAATGAGGGTATGGGGGGTTGGTGGGGCATGTCAGCAAGGAGGATGACAAGACTCCAGTAATGCACCCCAAAGGGGAAGCAGCAGGAGAGTAAGTATTAGCTCAAGAGTTAAACCAAATGATTAGGGATAGTCACTTCCTTTGTAATGTTTCAGGGGTCTGTGCAGGAAGTACTGTTATCATCTGAGGATCTGGCATGTCATTTCTGTTAGACTATTTAGAAACTGCAGGTAGAGCATTTTCATGGTTAATGATATTAGCATCTTTAAAGTTACCTTTTCCTCCCGTATGATTATTTAATTCTTTTGTTTGACTCACAGGTGGAAGACTTTATTAAAATGTTACATGAAGTTGACAAGGCCCTTGCTGATGACCTGAAGGAAAGTTTCCCAAGTTTGAAGGTTCAGACTTAAGACTGGATTAGAATTTCTTCTGTTCAAGAAATAAACATTGTTTTTTCATAATTGAAATGGACACCTAGGAAATATTAGATACAGTTCATATTTGGGTAGTATTGCATTCATGTCCTTCTTCCTCCCCAGTCTTACATTATTTTTATTTGTACTGGAATCTGGAGTTTCACTGTTATCATCTCTTTCCCTGTTTTGCATTTGTTACATGTTATTTATCTTTAATTAAGAAAAAAATATGAACCTGTGATTGAGGTTCTTTTTAGAATGTTTGAGAAGTTGGTGAGGATAACTCTCGGTTTTTACATTAGACTTTTGTATTTGTATCCACTACAAATACATGTAGCTGCAGAAACAGAAAACTGTACTAAAATAGCTTAATCTGATAGCTTTTATGTATTTTATGCACTAAGAAGTACAGAGAAGGGCAGTGCAGACCTGAGAGGTAGCTCTGTGTCTCTGTCTCCTTCACTTTCCCACTTGGTCTGCCATGTGGACAGACCTTTGTGTTCATGTTTATTGTGTGTGGCTAAGGGGCTGTACCATGTCTTCCATCCACATTCAAGAAGGCGGAAAGTCAAGCGGTAAAGGGGCTTTCTCCTAGCAAGTCTGACCCACTCTTACTGGGAAAGGCTCTTTGGCTTCCTTGTGTCTCTGTGTCAGGTGGCCATCCCTGACTGTTAAAATGTGGTTGTTTTGTTTCTTTTTCAGTGTAAGAGGGAAGGGATGACTAGCTTTTGGATAATAAGTCCATGTGTCTGCCACAACATGTGAATACATTTTAGCCATTTTGAGTGTCATTTGTGTTGGTTCCTCTCTGTATTCTAGAAACAATTCAAAAGCAGTTACTGTTCACCCTTGTTACATTTTCATGTTTTTCTATGTTGTACATAGGAAGGTAGAAATGCTGACATTTTTAAAAATTCATTAATAAAATTCTCTATTTTCAGCATAATTCTAGTGGTTGAATTTGAGAAAGTGATTTGCTCTAGCAAATTTAAATTAAGATTGAGGGATTTCAGTAACTTCTGGTGGCTTACAAGTCTTGCGTACATGGTATCTCCCTCATACTTCATCACTCTTTGTGGGGGACAGTACTGGTGTTTGAACTCAGGGCCTTGCTCTTGCTAGGTGTTAGAAATATCTTTAAGATATTGCAGTGTCACAAGAGAGATGACACTACTCAGAAGTCAATAAGGAAGGCAAAATTTACTTCTGCCAAAGGGTGGACACCAGGAAATCTGAGAGGTATGCACACCAGGTGGGAAGTCCACAGGGGTTTTATCTGAAACCATGCTGTCCCTCTCCTGCCCCTGTATTGGGTGTGTTTTGGACTCACAGTCTGTGCAGTTGGCTAATTAAAAAGGGGCCAGGTTAGGAGGGGGCTTTGGGAAAAAGAAGCTTAAAAGTTCAGAGAAGCAATAACTGTTTTGGGTAATCAGCTCCAGAATGAGGGCATCTAGCAGAATTTGTGCCCCGTTGAGGATAACAATCCTTTGTACTTAATAGAAACTTTTATCATATTAAGCTGAGTTAATGAAGCAAGCGTATGGGAATCGAATTAGTAAGGCAGTTACTACTGATTAAATTCTGTGACGGAAGGACCTGACCTAAGCAGATTCTTACGCTAGGTAAGCACTGTACCACTTGAGCCACACTTCCAGCCCCTTCATTACTCTCTTTAGTGCTTCCTAGAAGTGTGTTCAGATAATCAACCAGGTGTACCTATAGAAGCATCCGTGTGCATTATTTCAAAAGTGGAATTTCTAATAGTTTTAAAGAAAATTCCAGTAATGTACAAATGCAGCTTATAACCCCATTTCAGTTTATTTCAGATTCCTTTTGGGTTTAAAGCATTGTTTTCTTGCTTTGAGAGGTTTTTGTTGATAAAATATAGAGGGTACTGTGTTTTCGTAAGAGAATAGTTTCCAGTTTAGAGATAGTTTTATTACAATGCTACTGGAAAAAAAACTGGACTACATAACCAGGTGCTGGTGGCTCATGCCTGTAATCCTAGCTACTTGGGAGGCTGAGATCAGGAGGATCACAGTTTGAGGCCAGCTCGGGCAAATACTTTGTGAGACTCCATCTCCAAAGTAACCAGAGCAAAATGAACTAGAAATGTGGTTCAAGTGGTAGAGTGTCTGCTTTGCAAGCGTGAAGCCCTGAGTTCAAACCCCAGACCTACAAAAAAAAAAATTGTACTATAAAATCAAAATCTTATGGGTCAAACTAATTGGTAGGCTTACCTTAATGTATATTTCCTTGTCCTCAGGCCTAACTTAATCTGTAGACTGAGTGTTACTTATTTACCTTGAGGTTTCAGAAGCACCAATGAAATCACACCTACTTACTAGCTGATGCTACAACTCTGGTCTTACTTCAAGTATAAGTACCATATAAAAGTAATACTTGAGGGCTGGTGGAGTGGCTCAAGTAGTAGAGCGCCTGCCTAGTAAAAGTAATACTTGTATCATATAAAAGTACCATATAAAAGTAATACTTGAAGTTACTGGTTTCGATGACCTCAGTACATGTACATTTCACATTGCTTTCCAGAGAACATGTTTTAAGACAGAGAGCACAAGGATTTTGGGGTCTGAGGGAGAGAGTACCACCCAGAGGACAAGTTACAGAGGGAGAAAAAGGGCTCCTTACAGAAAGGGTTGGTGTGCTTTTGTCTACTTTACATTTTTTTGGCCTGGGATCCGACCTGTTTACTTTGTTACTTTTTTCTGTTGTAATATGAGGCCGTATCTAAATTCCTAGTGTTTTGATATGCTTGAAAACTTCCTAAATCTATAAATTACATTACTTTTCAAAAACACTTTAAATTTTTTAACGCTTATACAATCTGAAGAAGTCACACAAAAAAGTTTAGTGTTTGAAACCGTTGCAGTGCTATTTTGAAGTGGTGCTTTCTCCAGAAGCATGAATGTGAAATTTGAAAGTCCATGTACAAATGAAACTGAAAATCATTCTTTTCCCTGTACTTTTCTGCAGGGGAGGGGAAGATCACGAGAGGAACTTGAGTTACCATTTGTTACATTATTTATGTCATCCTGTTTCTAATTAAATTTGAATTATATTTTTGAAGTAGCTAAGTCATTTAAAAAGATGGTTTGTCTCCTGCAGCTAATGGGGTATTGCTAAACTCTTGGGGTTCTCGTTGTTGTTGATTGTTTTGCTGATCCAGCTTATTACATTAAGAGTGTTTTCTACTGTCTTTTAATATTTCCCATCTTGACTTACTTACATTGGTAACTTTGACATGTAAGTGGGAAAAGGTTTAAAAGCTACCTCTCAACACATGTGTGTGTGTGTGTGTGTGTATTTTTTTTTTTTTTGATGAATTGCATGCAGAAAACAGCCATAGGCATTAAGAAACGACCTCTGTTTGGGGTTCATTAGATCTAAAGTAAATACCATCTTCTATTTTGTAGGACTGAGCTGTAGTGATGATGTAGAACTAACCTTGTTTGAGCAAACTGAAGAAAAGGAATACTGGAAGGAAGTGCAGATTATCATGCCTGTTTTAACTAGTATTCTTTATAACTTCATCAATAGCCGGTTTGGGGGGTTTTTTTGCAAGGAATAGTTTTTTGGGGTTTTTTTTTTTTTTTTTGGCAGTACTGGGGTTTGAACTTAGGGCCTCACGTTTGCTAGGCAGATGCTCTACCACTTGAGCCACTCTGCCCTGCTTCTGTGTTGGGTATTTTGAAGAGAGAGTCTCAGGAACTATTTGCTGGGGCTGGCTTTGAGTCTCCTGATCTCTGCTCCCCAGTAGCTAGGATTACAGGCATGAGCCACTGACCCCGGCATAGATTCATACTATGATTTGGGGGTAACATATTCACCATGAGTCTACTTTCTCTTTTAACATTTTGCTACCTCCTTCTTTTCTCTGTTCCTGGGAAAAATCTTAAGAAAGGGAAAATAGGTAAACATCTCTCTTAAATCAGTCCTTTCTAGTATTTTTCTTTTTGTTGCTACTGTGAGATCTAATTCAAGAAATGTTATTAAAAACCATGTACTCATAGTGAAATGGTATCACATCTTGGGTTTGCTTCAAAATAGTGTAGGACAAGAGAGAGAAATGGGAAGAGGGGGGAGGAAACAAGATTGGCCATGAAGTAGAATCACTGAAGCTGGGTGTTGTTACATGGGGATGTGTTTTACGGTACCCTTATTTTTGTATTTTTGAGGTTTCCTTTAAAGTTTTTTTTTTTAAGAAAATACATTGCACATGGTTTAGAGCCTGAGTTTAATTATGAATGATGCTTATTCTTTTTATAAATAAATAGCATCAAATACATCATATACTATTGAGTTCAGCAGACTTGACACCAACAGAAATACTTGCCAAGATTATCATCACTTGATGGGGCTGGGGTGCAGCTCAAGTGGTAGAGCACCTGCCTAGCAAGCATGAGTTCAAACCGCAGTACTGCCAAAAAAGATTATCATCACTTGCTATGAGGATGATCACATGCAGAGATATGTAAAGGCTATTATCTTCATCTTTTCAGCTGACTACAAGGAGGCTATTGCCATGAGGAATGCTAGTGGCTACTGATAGGTGGGAGCTGCTGTCACATATGCTAGCTCCATAGTGGGCTCTTTTACTAACAGCACTTATTGCTGATCTTCAATGGTGTGTTTTCTGGGTAGAGGAGTAGTTAGGGAAAAACACAAAAGTCCAAGAATTTTAAAGGGGGAAGATTTTTAAGAGATGAAGAACATGAACCTGGGCAAATATTGTCCTTGGGGCTAGGCCAGACCTAAAGCAGGGACTACAGGAAACTGGGCAAGACGGAGCAAGGTCCCAGTGGAAGATGCTGCCAGCCTTTTGCTCTCCCTCATGCTTGTCTGCTCTGTATTTTGTATGGAATGTAAAGTCTGAATTGCTAGTTTTACTATGTACCTCAGGTTAGTTTGCATAAAGTCGCATTTGTGTAAATCCAGTTTTGACCAACCGAGTGAACATCTGTAATATAAAAGCTAAATAGCCTCCATGATTTCTAGTTAGTTTCATAACCACAGATTGTGGAATATTTGTCTATTCCTTATTCAGTGATTATTATTGCCCCATGACTTTTTTTTGGTGATACTAGGGGTTGAACTCCAAACCTCACACTTGCTAGGCAAGCAGTCTACCACTTGAGCCACGTTCCAGCCCTTTTTTGTTTTAGTTTTTCAGATAGAATCTTGCTTTTTTCTCAGGCTGGCCTCAGATTGTGATTTTCTTACCTATACCTTCTGCATAGCTGAGGTTTCAAGCATGCACCACCACACCTGGTATAACTACAAAAGTCAGTGCACACTTCCATAATTTAGCATCACTGTGGAGTAGCCATTCTCACTTTACTGTAATTTTTCACACATGAGGGCCCTAGCAAGGACCTCAGTTCTGAGAGCAAGGGCCCATGGCCCACTGAAGCCAGACTGGAGGGAGAGTCTGTCATCATCTGTCCTCACTACTACCCCTGACTCAGCTACTTAGAACTAAGTATGTACCCCTAATGTCATCAACTATGTTGGAAATAAATTGAACATGATACAAAGGGTACGTCAGAGGGCAGAGAGGTGATAGAAGATACCAACAAGTGGCCAGGTTCTGGTTTTGCTGTGTGCCAGGAACTCTACAAATATTTCTACATATATTACTCCACAACAATCTCAGAAGGTAATCATTATCATAGGAAAATGAAGATTCAGAGTATTCAGAAGTTTACCCTCCAGGTACAGTGGTTCATGTCTGTAATCTCAGCTATTTGGTAGGCAGAGCTTGTAGTTCAAGACCAGCTCAGGCAAAAGTTAGTTGAGACCCCCATCTCAACAAACAAGCCAAGCATGGTGGTTCTTGACTGTAATCCAAACTCTGGGAGGTGAAGGTAGGATTATATAGTCCAAAATTGGTGGGGGTGGGGGAAGGGAGACGATGGGGAGGAGCATGAGGAAGCACAAAAACGGTGGGAGGCATGGCTTAAGTGGTACAGCACTTGCCTAGCAAAAGGCCCTGAGCTCAAACATCACTGTCATCAAAAAAAAGAAGAAATTTACCCAACGTTAATAGGCATTAAGTAGCTGGTTTGGGATTGGAATCTAGGTTTGCCTGGCCCAAAAGTTTCCCCTTTAACCACTATAATCTCTACTTGCACCTTGTAGGTATACCTGGATCAGATAATGAAGGTGTTTTTACTATCAGGTGGAGTAGACAGCTGGGGCTTCTTCTGCATGCCCCTCAGAGAGTGTTCCTGAGCTGCCTAGTTCTCCCTTTGTTAGAGTGTACAGTTGAACAGGGATTGATTTCTGAGCCAAGCTGGGCAAATCAGGGCGGCTCAGGAGCATTGAACTCTGAAGATCATGTAACTTGTAAAGTTGAGAGTGAGGCAGGAAATTTGGGGAATGGACCAAACCAGGTCATGGTGAGCAGGTCGCCTCCTTGCAGATCTTCTCATGGGGAATAGGTGATCTATCTTCACCCAAAAAGCCCCTTTTGAAAAAGAGCATTTTCATCTGGACCCGAACTGGGACATGTGCACAAGGGCCAATAATTATAGCTCATTGGATTCCAATGTACAACCAATCACCAAAAGCCACTCCTAAGAACCACCCAAATCTCCCCTTACTATAAATACCTGACCTGGCACTAGTGCCCTTGCACTGCAGGTGCTGCCCTTAAGCCTCCTTGCTCAGAGACTGCTCCCCAACCCCAGCCTTTGAGGAGTGCACTTTCCTGCTTCCACTCTCAATAAAACTGCTGCTACTTTGC